GATGGATGGATGGATGGTTGGATTGATGGATGGATGGATGGATGGATGGATGGATGGATGGATGGATGGATGGATGGATGGATGGATGGAAAGAAATATATAGTTTATGGAGGGGGGCATATCCTAATATCTTAAAATATGCAGCTAAATAAATAAAGTTACCAAAGGAGATTGGTTGAAATAACTGTAGTGACACATTCCTTTTTTCCTTATTAATGCTTACAAGAATGATATCAGACAGAGATTGATCAAACCAGTGATCTAATCTATCTAATCTAAGATGTGCTAGCTTTTTATACCTCGGCCTCTACAGAATAATGTCATAAAACATCAAACACAAAGGAAACAGTGTGAAAGGCCCAACCCCTGATTTCTAAACCAGGCCAGTTTACTGTGGAGCTCTGAGAAAAAGAAAACCAAACTGACATTTTTTTTGCAGCACTTTCTTTTTAACTTTCTTTTCCTTTTTTTGGCACCTTTCATGTGTTAGCAGCAAGTTGTTTTTGTTTTATTTGCTATATGATGGCAGTAGGCCTACTTTCTCTTTTTCAGCAATTGTGTTTGTATAGTTGGTAACAATTTACAAAAAAACATAATTTATAAATGTTAAAGAGACCATTAACTAATAATTAACAGATCGTTTCATCCATGTTTTATATTCATTTATAAACTGCATCTAAGCCATTTATAAAAGGTGTTTGATCGCTTGGTTCTAATCTGAGGAGGAATGAATCTCAGATAGTGTACAAAGAGAAAGAAAACATCTTTCAGAATTAGCAGAATTTATTCCAGTCATGTTTAACAAAATTACTGATATAAACAGAAATTACAGTCTACTTCTTAGCCATATCTGTGCGAACAGTAAAATGGCCCAGATTTATTTAAAGCTTCCCAATGTATCCAAAAATGCCACACCCAGCCGGGAGGGGCCTCTTCCAAAGTCAGAGTAACTGGATCATAATGCTCTGCCATGTTGGTGTATGCCTAACAACACTGTTCTTCATGCCTAACCCTATCCTGACTCATTTATATTGCACTGCCACGTTAGTTTAGCGCTAACCCTAACACCTGAACCTAGCCTTTATTTTTCAGTTAACTTGCCCAGTCATGTTACAAGTGACTTACACTAACCTACATAACAGTGGGCTTAATACCTTAATAAAATATCTATTTTCCCTTTCTAAATTGTTTAGATTTAGTTTGTAAAGATTTTATGTTTTGATTTAAATTTGGTATCTTTACCATTTATAAATGATATTGATGATGGTGATGGTAAAATGAAAACCTCTTGTCAGGTGGGGGTGAAGGTTTGTCAGAACCCAAATGCAGACACAAAAAGCTGAAGTGAATTCTTGAATATTTAATTAATCAAAAAGTTCAACAGAAGCAAAAACCCAAAACATAAATACACAAAACCACAAAAACTGCGAACCAGTAATACTAACAAAAAGGGGGCAAAGAAATGACAACAAACAAGCAAAGAGTGAGCAGCAAAGAAGAGAATAAATAGGAGAGAGAAACAAAGACCAGGCTAATTAGCAGATTGGGAGCAGGTGTGAACAAAAGAACAAAAATACAATCAAAAATAACTAGAATACAAGAACGGAAATTAGACCACTGAAAACTCAGAGATAAAGCTGGAACAGAAAGAAAACCATAACACCTTTAGTTTTGTTTTCAACCCTCTATTTTTATGATTGAATTACCATTTCTATTTTCTATTTGTTTATAAATTTGCCATGTGTTTGTTCATCTTAGCCACCGTCCTTTAATTACCAAGGCAAAGTGCATAATGGTGGGAAGTTTTTCCTGCCCTTCTCCTGACTCATATCTGAAAACAATGAAATCCTTTATACCCTCTCTGTCTGATTCGACTTTATGGTACAAATGAGGAAATGTCAAGAAAATTCCCACAAGGACAAATAAAACCTATTTCTTGTTAGTCATACTGTCTTTAGTCTACAGGAGCTGAAAACTGAATGCTCAAATACTCACATATAAAGCCTTAAATGGCCAAACTCCATCTTACATCAGAGATCTGATTGTTCCTCGTGTTCCTAACAGAACACTTTTCTCTCAGTCTGCAGGTTTACTAGTGGTTCCTAGAATTTCTAAAAGTAGAATGGGAGACATTGTTGATGTGGCCATTCGTAGCTGTGTTCGTAAAGTCTCTAGGGTCTGTCGCAGATGCAATCCCTGAAAGTAAGGGATGTCTTTAAGCTCAAGAAGAAGGCCTACCTGGCCTTGTTAGCTAGTTGGGGGTGTGAGGTATTGCATTCGAGTCAATGAGTCGATGTTATCAACTGGTTTTCCTAAGATGGAAAACTTTGAATCAATTTGACTGTATGATCTGGTGAATTGCAAAGTGCCTTGAGATGACATGTGTTGTGCATTGGCGTTATAGAAATAAACTGAATTGAAAAACTGAATAATTGGACTCTGGAATCAGCTGAGAGGTACCGGCAGGCCTAGCATGCTGAAGCATGTGTGGTCACAGAGGCAAAAGCCATGGAGGAGGACTATCGGTCAGCCTCGAAAGTGTTCCGGCAAACTGTCCGACTCCTTAAGAGGTGGAAGCAGTGCTTTACCAACATTGTTTACATTGTGGGTGGGGAGCTGCTGACCTCGATTGGGTATGTTGGTGATGGAAAGAGTATTTCAAGGATCTCCTCAATCCCATCATCAGGTCTGCCAAGGAGGCTGGGGACTTAGAGGTATTTTCAATCATACAAATAATTCAATTTTATTGTCATTACACTGTCACAAGTACAGAGCAATGAAATGAACTCTCTGCATTTAACCCTTCCCCTTGGGGAGCAGTGGGCTGCCATTGTGTGGCGCCCGGGGAGCAGTGTGGGGTTAATGATCTTGCTAAGGGACTGTGGGAGTGGGGGATTGAACTCACAATCTCAGGATTCAAAGCCCTATGCCCTAACCACTATGCCGCCACTCCCCCAAGCAGCCAAGCTTGAAGTAACCAAGGTAGTTAGAGAGCTTTTCGGTGGCAATGCTCTGGTGGTGGATGAGATTCTTCCTGAGTACTATAAGGCTCTGGATGTTGTAAAACTGTCTTGGCTGACACAGGTTTCTGTTACGGGTTGTCCATTCTCTATGTGACCACAGCAGGAGGTTGGTTCACATTGCCGGCAGTAAGTCAGATCTGTTCCCGGTGCATGTTGGTCTCCTCGTCTTCCCCTGGTCCCGGACACTGGTGGTGGAATAAGCCACAGGGTGAGTGGGACTGAGAATGAGGTAGGGGATTGGGTTGAGGTGGGTGAAAGTTTGCCTGTGGAGAGAAAAGCAGGGCCAGGAGCTAAATAAAGGGGATCTTGAAAGATGATTGGCTTTGGCGACGATGTGGCTACAAATTGGCAAATTGGCTGGAGCTGAATGAGGGACATCACAAGTGGTTGTGGTGTAGCTGATAAGAGTCTTCCAGGTTGAATTTTCGCTTAAGCTTCATTACTGTAAACAAAAGTTAGCTTCAACGTCCAAATCTTTTGGAATATTAGATCTTCAGAGTGGGTGTATAATTCATCAAAATTAAGTGCAATGATTATGGCATTATTGAATTTAAAACACTTTAAAATAACAAGAGTGTTCAAACAAACTGCTCATATTTTTGAGATGTAAAATAAATATACAATGACCTAAAGTTAGCGAGGATTATTTTCAGTCAGGCCTTTATGAAAGGTAATAGATTCTGTTTAGAAGAAATGCAACTCTTCGTGTACCTTGATCTTTGATACTGTCCAACATCACTGTAACATTTTATAGCCCATCATAAAAGGTTATTGGTTGGAAGGAGGGTTATGGAAACTGTTCATCACTCATAGCAGCTGAGATTCACCTGATCAGCTCAGTTGTCGGGACGGGAGAACACGACTACACCAACATGGACGGCGCTGGTTGGAGTCGGATATGCGTCGCTCTTGTTGTCGCTGTGTGGCTGCCTGTCATTAATGGAAGTCCGATAGGTGAGTATACTATCTGCATAGCCGCATAAACACTGTGTCTACAGGCTTGTTCTGAATGCAGGAAAGCAGAAGGCCAGAGAGTAATGAAGTTATAAAAAAGGGTCTAGAATTAAATCTAAGGTTAAATTCTTTAGTGTTATATCAATATTTTATGTCAAGAACAGGAAGTAGAGCCTTTAATTTGAATGTTTCAGCCTTACAGAACTCTCTCCTTATCTATTAGGTTCAAGGTTCAAAATGGACACACTCCACTTGTTCTACTGGTGCCGTGTCTTCTTTATCCCACGTTAGTTAAACTATATAAATTGGCTATCCTGTTGTTGTTAAAGCCAACTGTGGCTTTCATCAGGATTCTGGCTGTTATTTTGAGTGTGCTAAATTGTACACTCTACATAAAAATGTCCAGCGGGAAATATGTGCACACTTCCAGATCACTCTGGTTTCCTTTACTCTTTAAAAGCAGAGATTTGCCCTGATATGATAGTTTTGTTATTGTTGCTTATTTCAGAGCAAACTGGCCTCCTTTAGAAATCAGGGGTTGGGTTTTTATTGCTGTTTTCTCTCTGTATGTAGTTTTATGGCACCTTCTATAAAAAGGTAGCTGGTTTAATCAATCTCTGTCTGTTCTTATTCTTGCAAGCATTAATAACTAATGTGCCTCTACGATAAATTTGACTGATCTACTTTGTTAACTTAATTTCTTTAGGTGTATTTTTTTTTCGCTATTTATACTCCTTTAAAATCTTAAATTTATTTTTAACCCCGCTCTGTTGTGAAACGTATGGTTGTGTAAGTGAAAAAAAGGAATCTGAGGATCCTCAAATCCATAAACTGTGGATAAGCTGGAAGAGTTGCTGTTTCCTAAAGGTTGTGGGTTTGATTCCAGCTCTCCAATGTCTCATATCCATGTGCCCCTGGGCAAGGCACTTAAATCTAAATTCCCTTCTGCTTATCTAACTATAATAGAATAGATAGTAGATCTAGTTCAATTTCCATAGAGATTTTTATAGGTTTTATAGGTTCTATAATAGAATAGAATAGAATAAAAAAATCCCTTTATTGTCCAGCAGTGGGGAAATCCTGATGTTTACAGCAGCAAAAAGATTATAGAAAAATGGTCACTCAATTATGGACCTTAGAGAAATGTATAAGAATAATGTAGAAGGTATGTGTGTTGAGAAAACAATATGGTGATTGTGACTCCACTGTAAAGTCATTTGAATTGTCAACACGATGAGCCAGCACCAAACTGAATTGTATTTTTTTTTTCATTTATCTTAAAAAATTTGAATAATAAGTACAGTAACAGACTCAGACAGGGCGTCTGAACAGAACTTTCAACAGAAGCAGATTTACTTTGAATCACAAATAATGTCTGGCGTCAGTGGATTATTAGAGTATTTTGTCTAGGTATTGTTTTTTTATCTATAGCATTGGCTTTAAATATATGTTAAGAAAGTAGGTCAAATATATATTTATGTCTCTCATTAGCTGGGGGGGCTTACGCCTACATGTGACTTCTTGTTCTTATGTGGATGTAATTATAATTGAGGGATTGTATTTGAGTCAATGAGTCGATGCAATCAACTGGTTTTCCTTAGATAGAAAACTTTGTATCAATTTGACTGGATGATCTGGTTGAACTGTAAAGTGCCTTGAGATGACATGTGTTGTGAATTTGGCGCTATATAAATAAACTGAATTGAATTGCATAATTCACAGCCACCGGAACAAGCAGTTCCACTCTAAAACTGTGGGTGGCAGTAGTGATACTTAAAATGGAATGTCAGTACTATCAATTAAAACGTCCATTGAGGTTTTAATTGATAGTAGCTTATATTAACCATAAATTTGCAAAAATACTCAAAAAGAAATAGTCATTCATTTTGACATTCTTATACCAACATTACAGATAATCACATAATTCATGCTCTTTCCCATGCTAATTTTGCTGTATTATGGTAGAGCTGATATGTTAAGTGTGGGGACCTGTATATAACTTAAGATAAGATTAACTACTCAACATATTCAAATGCCTTAATAAGCAGATCCAGGTATGATTAATTTAGATAGCATATCTATTTGTATATATAGCAGGTATGTAGATTTTTTTAACAGGGGCTCTATAAAAATCTGGCCTTCTGTGATTTATTCTTTAAATACATATTCAATTTAATTCAATTTGGTTTATTTATGTAGCGCCAATTCTCAACTCATCATCTCAAGGCCTTTACAGAAACAATTCAGCCTAAAAGCAAATCTAACTAAGGAAAACCAGCTGATTTCATGGACTCTCTGATTCGACAGCAAAGAATGCATGCGTTTATTCGTTTTCCTGTTTGTACAATAGGATTACTGTAGATTGACCCTACTGAAGATTGTCTGCCTTTATAAAAAAAAAAAAAAAAAAATTGGACTATTTTTTGCTAGTACTAATGAAAAAGAAATTATCTTGGTAATCCTAACTAACCTAAAACTTTTTTTCGATAGTACCAGCTTGTTAGTGTCATTCTATGAACTTTGTTAGCATATGGTTTCGGCTGGGAATAACACTGTAGCTTATAGTTTCACAAACTCTGAGAGTTTAATACTTTTATCCTCACTGCAATTTTCACAAATATACAGCAAACCTAAGGAGGGGAGGACTGGGGGTCCTTAGCAGCTCTGGACAAGTAAAGTACTTAAAAATGTTTTTTTAATTTGGGATGTGTACATATACACTTGATATCCAGTGATTATAAAAAGAAAAAAAGTAAAATTATCACATGCCAAAAACAAATGAAAGGTAGAGGAACCTTTTTGGGGTATTTCACCTCCAACACACTTTTTTCTTACTATATTTCCACTTTAAGTGTAAACTAAAGAGTAAATGGTTGATAGGAAAAATAGATTATGTCAAATAAAACATGAGCTATAGTCATTTCGGGAGTTAATCCTATAGGACTAATCAGGATTTACTTGCTGGTGAACATTTTCAGTCATTCAGGTCATAGTCATTCCAAAAAAGTAAAAGAAAAAAAAAAAAACATTTCTATGGACTTTGTTTTCAAGTTTGAAGACATTTCGCTTCCCATCCAGGAAGCTTTTTCAGTTCAAAATTTCAGAAATAGCATTGAGTTCAAGGATTTTTAGAGTGGACCAAAGCAAAGCCTTGTTTTGGCTTAGAAACATGCAACTTGAAACGGACGAACGGGTCAGACGGACCCCTTCTCCCGTGGGGGTCGCTTTGTTTCTTTGTTAGCCTGTAATATCCGACAACAACAATCCCCTTTAACCACGCCCCCTTTCAGAGACATAGACAGGTTTCGAGTATTACAGACTAACAATTCTACAAAGCCTTGAACTGAACGCTATTTCTGACATTTTGAATTGAAAAAGCTTCCTGGATGGAAGAGTCTTCAAACTTAGAAAACATATCCAGTAGACTGTTTTTTTCATTATGTTTTTAGGATTTACTTATTTCTATTTTATTTAGAGACAATGTTGACATTATCCAATCCACAGCTCATAGGTGCTACTTTCTTTTGGAATGGAAACCCATGGATATTGTAGACATTGATTTCTGCACATAAAAAACATATTTGAGGACTGAATCTATGTATTGAATTGTCTATGTAAATGCCTTGAGATCACACGTGTTGTGCATAAATTGAACTGCCCCAGTGCAGAAAGATCAGGTGCTAAAAAAAGATAGATTTTCTTTTTTTACTACAGATGCACAAACGTTGGTTTGCTTTTTTTCTTTTGTTCTACAATGGAGATAAACTGTTGTTTCGACAAAACAATATTCTAGGACATTGTATCAGTCACATCTAAGCATATTAATAATTAATAATAATAATTGTTAACCTTACAAATCGATTATTTTAATAAAGCTTACTTATTTGAAAAACTTATTATTCAGGTTTATGTATTTGCTCTTAATAAAGTATACTTAAATTAATACTAATCGATGTGTTTTCATTTCAAATATATGACTTATTTATTGTTTAAGTCATATTAAGGTAACCGTGAATTTCATGCAATTCATAACAATGGGAATGTGTTATCTTAAAATTATATATATCTTAAATTTGTGTGACCCTTTTGGGTGTAAGTTATGCTGTTTTTATCATAATAAATATTCATTACACATATAATACACTGAACTTTGGTTAAAATAAACTAACTTTTTTTCTCTGTTTCTGTAGGCACTACAACCATTAACTGTGTTTCGGTTTCTGAAGCAAAGCATCTGGGTGCTGTGGATGAAGAATATTCAGGTGAGATGTTTAAAACTTCTTAAGCAGTATCACGGTTAGTCCAACGCCACCTTGATGCATTGCTTGAGTCTGTCATTTTTCATCATTAAAAAACAGATCATTTAATGTTACATATACTGTGAATTAGGTGAGTAATAAGGACATTTCCAAGTGATTCAGTTTTTCTGATTGTTTATCACCTGCTGCTGCAGGTGATGTGGAGCTGGTGACTGGTATTCCACCTGGTACCAGTCTGACCCTGGAGGTGGACATTTTCGACCATCTTCAGTTTCTGGAGTTGATCCACAATCCAGGGGAAAGCACAGCAACTGTTCGTACCAAGAAGCCACTCGACGCAGACAAACTGGCTGATGTAAACTGTCCCATTTTAATTCTACTTAAAATGAAGTTTTCTAAATATTTTTGTTTTAAAGGCACACTATGCAACATTTTTCAGTTAATTAATGTGTTCCATTACGTTTTGGATGATTAAATGAGTCATTTCAGGTTGAACAAAGGTATTCTCGGCCGCCCTGGTGGTCTGTGGGGGAAATACCGCACTTGCAATTGCAGGAGCACCGACCCGCACCCACAGGCTCAGAAGTCTCGTGAGAGTCAGTCTTGCTTTACGGCGAGAACTGCTACACCCCCCAGTTAAAAGCCTTCTCGTTGCTAGCACAGTGGCGATCTTTGTGCAGTTATGCTACGTTCACGCAGCAAAAGCAGCAAAATCGCGTCTGCTGCTTCCTTTTTGCTGCTTGTACCAGTTAGTTCTGACGCGCGGCTGAAGCAGCTTTGCTGCTCTGGCTGCGCGGTGCTAAAATGTGTCTGAGGCGCGTTGGGCGGAGCTTCACTATCCTTTCTCTGCCTTGCAGCTATATTTGCTGTGATCATTTGGAATAAAGTAGTTTTAATATGTGTTTAAATGACAAAATACACCTGAAAACGTAATCAGTGCAGTCAGTTCATTCAGATTATCATCCTGCCTTCGATATTTTTTCTGTCGGAGCCGCTCAGACCCCCACATACCAGCGGTGCGCCGACAGAAGGAATCCCTTCATCAGCAGCCTCTGGCCGGGTCGCCTCCTCGCGGTTCACCGCGGCAGCTGGTAGGTGTTTTTCATCTAAATAATCCGAACTGCATATTCTGCCGGCAGATTTCTGCATTTTAAGTTAATTTAGGCGTCAATAAACTGTTTAAGAGGAGTGATCATCAGCGCTGTGTCTCTCTCCCTGCGTCAGATGATTAAACTCGCCCGACGCACTGCTTCAGCTGCTCAGACGTGCTGCGCCTGCTGCTCAAAACGCGCCGCGGGACCTTTTGCTGCGTCTTGACGCGCGTCAACCATTGACTTTGCATGTAAACTCGCTGCTTCTGTCACGCCAGCTGCGGTGTGAACGCAGCATTAGTCATTCGTTGCATTCGCCTGTCTGCTAAGCTCAAAACAACCGCGCCTGGCTTGACGGAGAAACCAGGAGAACAGCTGTGCATATTTACGACAGTGCACTTTTACTTTCGCCCTCTGGGGGGAGCCTCGCTGGAAAATCAACACCGGTTGCATAGTATACCTTTAAAGCACTTTTGTATATCTTGACTGATCTGTGCTGAAGTGACAGCCTTCTCCTTTCAGCCCATGTACAGCTTTGCTCTTTAACCTGTTCCAGCAGAAGTTAAATCCTTCTATGTTTTTGTGTTGCAGAGTGATAGAGTGTTGTACTACAAGTTGGTGTGTGGCCAGGATAATAAGGTGGGTAAAATTAGAATAACTGTAGCATAGAGATTATAAAAATGATTAAATAGCAACATGAAATAGCTTCTCCCATTCTGCTTTTACAGCGCCGACTGACAGTCAATGATATCAACGATAACGGCCCAGAATTTCAGCAGAGTTTCTATAACGCAACAGTTTCAGAGGTAAGTCACTTTGATCTATTACAAACAAAGCAAAAACTATCTTAAAATATTTAGAATCTTTTTCAAATAACTATATGTACAGTTAATTTGAGTGGGTAAATAAGATGATCTACCAATGGATTGAGTATTTCGTCTTAAAATAAGATAATCAGTATTATGCACTTGAAATAAGAGGTTGCGGTTGTTGTTTTTTCTCATTCTAAATGTAAATTTTCTTATTCCATTGGCAAAGTTTCTCACTTTCCTGCGCAAATCAGTAAAAAATTAACTTCATTTAAGAAAAATTGACTTACTTAGACATTTTTGCAGTGAAGGGACTGTTTAAGTCAGAGGATTGGGAGCTATAACTTGGGTCTACGTTGTCAGAATAAAGCTCCAATTTGCTGCCTCCACTTTGAGACATCTTCACTCAAACTGCTTTCAGCTGCTTACCTTTCTTCTCAAAGAAACAACCAAGTGAAAAAAAAGCTTTATCTCTTTAATATTCTCCCAAGCACTTTCTTTCTTTTATAGATATTCCTAATTTCTCCTTCCCTGGAGGATTAAACGCTGTATAAACTGACCCCTTTTTTTGATCTAAAAATAGACACGTCGTTAGGTTTTCATGTCATTATGTCATGAAATCTCAACCAATAAGAAGTAATTGTATGATTTGTTTTTCTTGGTTTGCTTTAATGAATTGCTTTAATCATTCTGATGTCTGTTCTTTCAGATTACAAACCCTGAGACTAAGGTTCTTCAAGTGACAGCTGTTGATAAAGACAGCAGCCCTCAATTCAACACCCTCGAATATTCCTTTGTAAGGACATTAAAATCAACAGCATTTAGATTTTAAGACCATTGCAAAACATATTTTTATTTCAATAATCATTTTAGAAAATAGAAAATAATAGCATGTAGAAAGATATAGTGCTTAACTTGTTAAAGAACATATGATCAGGTCAACGTGATCATGCATGATGATGGAGACATGATAAATATCTTGACAACCCAACCAAGAGTTATCAGTAATGGGAAAGACCATTTAATTTTGTCTGCCTGTAGGATTTAAGTGTGTAAATGAATAGATCAATAAAAAAAACACTGGAAAAAAATGTCAACGTTATTTTGAACAAACCATTAAAAGATCAACACTGGCTTAAAGGTATAGTGGAGGATTTGGGGGAATTTTTGAAAAGACCCGCCCTCTCTACTTAAAAAAAAATGCACATGTACAACCCTGTACCCGCTCCCAAGAGGGAACGTCTATGAAACGCGTGTGAAAGCATGCACATGCCCATTTTGCCTCGTGCACGCTTTGTTTAAAGGTTAGTGTTCTCATAGCTCATACAAGTTCACTTTGCAATAGAATATTTGTAATTTTTCCACTATGTCAGACTCCCCACGGTAAGTCAAAATGGGGACACGCACGTAGGACGGCCTTAGGTAAACATATCACCAGAATGATTGACAATTAGGAGGATCAATAATTTGAATGATCTACCTGGAAAAAGAACATCCTCCACTATATCTTTACGATAAACATAGAAAAAACTGCATGCTTAATTACTGTGGGGAAAAGGTAGTCAGCTATTCACTCCACTTAGAGCAATGGATTTCATTCAGTTGGCTTTTTATTTAACTGTGCAAAGAAAAAAGAACAAGACACATCAGCCCTCACAGTATGATGCTCTGAACTAGACAGCATTTGTTTTTCCCTAAATAAAACCCTGTAGAAAGGCTGTGAAGGTCTCCAAACATCTTTACTCAAACAAAGACAGACAGTTTGGAAAATAACACTTATGAAATAATCCCTGAGAAACAGTCTATCTTGTTATGAGAACTATTATTTTTTTATCTTAAACACTCCTCTCACTCAGACACTTTGTTGCCTTGCAGCTCTGAGGCCCGAATGAATAAAACTCAGCACTCATAATATATCTAAAAGGGAATTGTTTTTTTTTTCCTACCACATTAATGCACATGAAAAACAAGCATTTTACTTTCCAGCCATTCTATTTGTTTTCACTTATGAGATCAATTTACAATTTCATTTAATGCTAACATTTTCTTTCAGGAACCACAATCTGAAGACTTTTACATAACAAACACGGGGGTATTTAGGGTAAAGAGGCGACTCAACTACAATGTTGCCCCAAAGTATAATTTTATTGTCACTGCCAAGGTAAGCATATTTATACATTCTTCATTCATTTAGTTCCATCATAAGTACCTCCTCTTTATCTTTTGGTGATAAATCGACTCTCCATTGTTTTCTGCAGGACGTAGACAAACGGCAAAACACAACCTCTGTTGAGATAATTGTTACAGACTATGATAACTTGAATCCTTATTTCAGCCACAGTCTTTACCAAGCTACTATTTCAGAGAACCAGGTGAGTCTCACTCCAGCAGTTGCATGAGTTTTACCACTGACTCACTGACATAGTCCTTTTAAGTAAACCGTTTTCTATATAGACACATAGTTTTACATACAAAACTGTTTGGTTCACTTTCAAAAGACCTAACATAGAAGTGTTGGTCTCAAATATGTGTGTTAGGATGGACAACTTAGTGAAATCACACCAGAGGCAATAAAGGCCCAAGATGGAGACTCTGGAATCAACATGACTGTTGTATACAGCATCAGCTCTGGTATGGCAAGCCCATCTGTGTTTAATCTACGAGTTCAGCTTTTGCAGACATTTTTCCATTAGTAGAAATATAGCAGATGAATCAATAATCTGTTTTTTTTAGTCTCTCCTGCCAAGTACCAACCAAACTTTAACATCAACCCTGGCACTGGAGTTCTGTCTGTGGTGACGGCCTTTGACAGGGAGGACATGGACAGCGGTGAGATCTCTGTCAACATTAAGGTAATTATGTTTTCATTTACACCCAGCCAGTGGGAGAATATAAAGAAAGCATGATTGTCATTTGTTATAATATGCCTTTGAGCCATAGATAGAACCAACCCGGTGTTGTTGTGTGATGTCTGCAGGCGGCCCAGACAGATGACCTGCTGAAAACGGCTGCAGCCATTGTTTCCGTCACAGTGGAAGATGTGAACGACGAAGCTCCAAAGTTTGATCAGCCTAAGTACAACGTTTCCCTGCTGGAGAACTCCCCCGCCGACGCCGTGGTGTTCAAAGCCGTCGTCACTGATTTGGACCAGGTGGATTTTACAGTATAATTTATTTGCAATTTTTAAGAAGGAATTTTGTAAAACAGTATAATTTGTGGCTAAATAAACATTTAAAAGGAAGTAGTTTGGTGGTTTAATGTAGACAATCTTTTTTTGGCCTTCTACTATGTAATTAACTGCAGTTTACTTTCTTTTGTTCAACGGTAGAAAATATCTGGGGTTATTCTTGAAAACCAAAGGT